CAACTGCTTGCAAGTTAGAGTGAACGAGTTTGAATTAGACTGTCACAGTCCCTTGATCAACTGCTTTGTCATTCTCTGGTTGGTGTAAATGCCACCGTACATGACCAGGTTGACCAGGGGACAGAGGACGCCTAACTCTTTAAGGGAAACACTGGAATTGTAAGTTGGGCCACAGCAATTTCCCTGTCCTTCTTAGGACCAACCCCAAACCAAACCCGTTGCGGTCGAGTTGATTCCAACTCATAGTGACCCTATACGACAGAGTAGAACTGCCCCGTAGGGTTTCCAAGGAGCAGCTGGTGGATTTGAACTGCTGGCCTTTTGGTTAACAGCCGAGCTCTTAACCACTGTGCCACCAGGGTTCCCTTCTTAGAACCAAGACTGAAAACCAAACCTGTTGTCGTCGAGTCAGTTCCAACTCATAGTGACCCAGTAGGACAGTGGTGCTTAAATTAAGCTTCTGGTCCATAGTGTAAAAAATCCTAAGTGTGATACCACGTTCATTAATGTTGCCAATGAGTTTCCCTTTTCCCCCCTCATATCCTAGCCCCCTATACCCAAGCGGCACCTTACAAGGTTTAGGCATCATACTTTTTCACGCAGACCAAAACCTGTGTGGGAAAGGTCTTCGCAGTCTGGTCCAACGTGGAAGTGGACATAGACCCTGGTGCTTACATGACCTTCTTCCCTTTTCCCTGTATTAGAGGGAAGATAGCAAAGGGGAAATTTGTCAGTAAATCCAGTGCGTCCAAACATGCTGTATATAAGTTTTTAAACTTACTTTCATTTTGCACATTTGATCTACCATCTCCGACAATAGTCATCTGTGGATCCCTGGGACGCCTGAAACCTTGTCAGGGGGCCTGCGTACTCCAAACTCTTCGTAACAGTAGGAAGACATTATCTGCCATTTTCAGTATGTTGTCATTCGTTCGCATTGATGGTGTAAAAGCAATGGTGGGTGAAAGTTCTGGAACTTCAGTGTCCATCTAGGCAGTGGCACTAACCTGTGCTGGTAGCGGTTGTATTCTTCACCGCCACACACACTTGCAGTTAAAAACAAGAACAAAAACCAGCAGTTTTATGAAGCATGCCCTTGGTGAAGCAGTACAATAATTAATTTTATTGACTCTTGACCCTTGGTTACAGATTTTTTTTTTTTTATTTGTGGTAAAAAGTATATAGCAAAATTTGCTGTGTTAACTATTTTTAAGTGTACAATTCATTGACATTGATTGCATTCCCCATGTTGTGCAACCATCACCACTATCCATCTCTAAGACCTTTCCATCCCCCCGAGTAGAAACTTAAGCAGTAACTCCCTGTTTCCCCTCCCCCCAGCCCCTGGCCACCACTGACCTCCTTTCTGTCTCTAGGTGTTTGCCTGTTGTGGGTGTTCCGTGTAAGTGGGATCATACAGTGTTTGTCCTGTTGAGTCAGCATATTGTGCTCAGGGTTTCTGCATGTCATCACATGTATCAGAACTTCATCTCTTTTTATGGCTGAATAATATTCCATTGTATGGATATACCACATTTTGTTTATCTGTGTATCTATTGATGAACATTTGGGTTGTTTCCACCTTTTGGCTGTTATGATAATGCTGGGATGAACATTGGTGTGCAAGTAGCCGTTTGATTTCCTGCTTTCAAGACTTTTGGGTCTATACCTAGGAGTGGAATTGCTGGATCATACGGTAATTCTGTGTTTAAAGTATGTCTAGGGTTAATCAGCCTTGAAACCGCTGTGGAGCAATTCTACTCTGAGACCAAAAAGTTTGAGAATTTCTGCTAACGGGTGTTGTTTAAAATTATTGATTTGTAGTAATGGTCAGATAAATTTTAATGCTCATTTTCATTCTGTATATTAATTTTTTTATTTAAAAATTTCCCCAATCCATAAATTAATAATCAAGAGTCCCATGTTAAGGTCGATTTTGTCAATTTGTCAAAACACTTTTAGAAAACCAGTATATAGAATCCCTAAGCTACACATTTCTTGGTATAATTTTATTATATCAGATGTATTTGTATGAATTGGACATTTATCCCAAATGTGAATCCATGTCCGTTTTTGATGGTCTGGTTTTTCATTGTGTCCTCTTGTAAATGAAGTTTGTTTCTTATTTAACGTTTGTCTTCCACCTGTTCTTCTGTCCTTTTGTGCGAAGGACATTTTAATGCCTAAATGCTAATCTGTAGCTAAGTTGAAAAGGTTTTATAGGTGTTGGTGGAGTGCATAATTATTATTAATGTTTTGAGTGTTATGAATACTGTAGAAATTTACTGTGAATCTGGGTTTTACTGGTGCTTAATATTGTCCTTTGTGGCTGTGTGATGAATTACAATAACTTTTGTAGCTACCCAATTAGTTTTGACTTGGGTTTGGTTCTGATAATGTTTGAAAAGTGTCTGATAATTTACATATACAAGAATATAATAACTTGCTTTTCTTTTTCTCTCACTCTCTTTTTAACAGTTATATGGGAATTGGTCTTTCTGCTCAAGGTGTGAACATGAACAGACTACCAGGTATATTTGTAATTATAGTATTATAGTCTTAATGGCTAGCTCATTCTGGTTAATCATTTCAAATAATAATTTGAAATAGTTCAATATATTCATTTTCTGTATTTTTGATCACCTGTGAGTTCTAAGTGGAAGCTGAGTTATTTTTAAAAATATTAATAAATGTAAATTTTATGCTATTCAGCAAAACCTAAGGCATATATACTGTGACTTTTTTTTCTTTGTTTCTTCGTATTTTAACTTCTAGTGAAGTCGTATCAGCTACTTTAAATATTTTAATGTGGTTATTCTGTTTACTACCCAACACAACGCTGGCTTTCCTAGCCCACCCACCCCTAGTAGTTTGTGTTCTGGGAATGTGGGCTCATGTTAAAAGCACCCTAAGGAAGGTGTCAAATGAGGTGCAGACTATTTCCTATCACCATTAATTAGAAGGAAGAAATTCTTAGATTATCTTTACTGGGATTCTGTGTGCAAATATTAAAAATTGGTACTTGATAAAGATGTTTTGAAATAGAAAACAAAACGGCTAATATAAAACTAAATGAAGTGCCTTTAAAAAAACAAACCTTCTAGCTGCCATCTAATTGTGATCAGATGCATTAACTTGGCCATACTTTCAGTATACCTTTTTGCTTAAAATTATACTTGACAGGGAGTTTAAATGAGGTTTTTATTACTTAAAAATTCTCCTTAGACGTAGCTGACAAAATACCTATGTTTATAAACATCTTAGTTTGGTGCTGTTGAAAGACCACAGACTGTTTGCCTTTTATATTTGGCTCATAACCTTGAAAACTTGCTGTGACTGAATAGGATGTAATCTGTTTTACCTTAAAATGTGTTTGTTTAGTTTTGTTTGTTTGCGTGTATGTGTTCTTACAAAATTCAACCCAAAATTCCTTTGGTATGTTTGCAAAAGAGTATGCAGAGAAAACTTGTTCTCAGTTGATATTGCCTTTATATTTATTTATTTTTCTTTATTAAACAATCATCTTTGTTTAATACATGTTTTAGTATTCTGTGTGGTGAATTTATTTTCTTTAATGTTGTAACCAGTATTTTAATATAAAAGAAATTACGTAGTATTATTTTTGGAGACTTTGAATGTACATTTGGGAATTTTATCTTTGTACTATCTGTTGGACTTTTCTGGCGTATTTGCTCATAATCTTAATAAATCTTGTACAGAGGAGCCTTACTTTTCTTTGTAAATACATTGGAACTTCCTTTTTAGGTTGGGATAAACATTCATATGGTTACCATGGGGATGATGGACATTCATTTTGCTCTTCTGGAACGGGACAACCTTATGGACCAACTTTTACGACTGGTGATGTCATTGGCTGTTGTGTAAACCTTATCAACAATACCTGCTTCTACACCAAGAATGGACATAGTTTAGGTACTGAAATCATATATTGCATGTAATATAACCAAATATGTGATTATTGTATTTACAGCATTGTAATTACATTTATTATGTGATTCTCCTGTATAGACAGATGTCTGTGGAAATGATTTCTTTGCTCTTTCCAGCTGTGAATTGAGGAAATGGTGAAAACTTGTATTCTGAGAAGGCCACTTTGTATCACACGTATAGGAATAACTGTAGAAGTAATTCCCAGACTCAGCTGTTCTAGTAACAGAAATACTAAGAGTTTTCTGCTTTGCTTTAAACAAAACACCATATGATTCAATTCTCTAAGTAACAACTGCTAAGAAAAAAGGGCTGTCAATTCTTAGGACAGTGTGTGGAGCAATAACAGGGAGGGAAAGCTTGATGCTACCAACCAAATTAAAGGACAGTGACATACTGAAAGGGCAGACCTGCCAAAGAACACGGTGAAGGAGGGACTACAAGTTCTGTGAAAGGGAGCAGGAACGAAACAAGCAAATAGTAACCACACAACTCCTGAGAAAAAAGGCAGGTGGCTTAATGAGAGATACAGGGATTAATGAAAACTTGAAGGAAACTTATATGTCGTGAGATTCGCAGGAAATTAGGGTTTTTTGTTGAATATGCACCAGTTGCACTTCAGATTTAAAACTGTGTGTGGTCGTTACAGTCTCTTTTCTTAGAAGTTTTTTTTTGCATTTCAGAAAGTACAGAGGACAGCAAAATTGATACCCTTTAAAAAAGGGGGTTTCACATTATCTTTTACTGTTTAAAAAATCCTTGATTCACAAGAAATTATTTCTAATGGGGTAAAGTGAAAGGAGGCTAAAACTAAATTATCTCCAGAAGGCAGAAACTCCAGTTTGCTTATAAATAGTATTTAAATATTAGACTGTAAATGGGATGCTTAGGCATATAATATATGTTCCTTAGTATAACACAAATTATATTAAATTTCTGTCATTTCATAGTAAATTCTAAATTTCTAGCTACATTGGTAATACTCTTTTTTACTGTCTCAGTACACTCCTTCTATAAAGTGTGTAAGTCTCTTTCACAGGCTGATATTTATATTCAGCTTAAAACTTTTACTTCTGATTATTAATTTTGATCCTTAAGTTCTGCTTTGTTATCTTAAAAGTTGTCTCAGATCCACAAAAATACTTACATTCTCCTCAGTAGGATTTTCATTAAGGACGACAAGAAAAGTGTATGCGGTGGTGTGAGTGTTGTGGCTGGTTGGTGTCTAGACAGATAGAGCCTTTTAAGTTTTTTGTTAGTGTTCTGGCTCTGACTCGTCAGAGCAGTTAACTGACGTCATCTTGGTTGGTCTGGCTGCTTAAGATGTTTAAGATTTTAATTAAACCAGGAAAAATCTGCTTTTAGTTATGACCTTTTATTCAAAAATGTAGAAGACAACATTTTTAACCCTATTAGTCTTCTTTATAACTTTTCAAACCCTCCAGAAAAAACATTTTTGGTTTGGAAGATAGGGAGATCCTAGGTGATGCAATTTTGTTTTTTTCCTGCTGGATTTTCCGAAACATTTAAATTGAATTTTTATCTTGAATAAGAAAGCTATTTTTAAATATAAGAATACTTCTTAAGAAAAGGGTACCTCATGATGGATCATTCAAATTTTAAGTAAATTTGAAGTGCTTGACACTATTATTTATAAATTTAGTGAATATTTATCGAGCATGTAGACAGGCCTTATAACAGTGGTTAAGAAGGTGGGTTCTTCAGTCAAGCTTGCCTGGGTTTAATTTAGTTTAGGTCACGTGACCTTAAGATACTTAACATTTTTGTGCCTCTGTTTTTTCAGTTTGTGAAATAGGATCACTACCATGCCTACCTCACGAAGTTGTTAAACTGAAATGATACATGCCAAGTTCTTAAATCACTTCCTGGCACAGAGTGAGCACTCAGTAAATGTTATTTATTATCATTGTTTGCCAGGTATGCGGGATGCTAGCAATATGCTGGGAAAACATTGATGAGTAGAAATGACTCCTCTAGAGCAAGGGTCAACAAACTGTGGCCCATGAGCCAAATCCAGTCGGCTGCCTGTTTTTTTAAATAAAGTTTTATCGGGCTGTTGCCATCCTCATTCCCTTTTGACTGTCTTTGGCTGCTTTCCCACTGCAGTGGCAGAGTTGAATATGTGGTTGCAGCAGAGACCATATGAAGTATGGCTCTTGACAGAAAAAGTTAGCTGGCCTCTGGTCTAGATTCTGAGAAACTACCATTCAGCTACTGTTTCCTTGTACCTCACAAAGCACAAAAAGTTCTACCCAGAGCTGACACATCTTTAGTTTCTGTCTCGTGCATATTTTTCAGAGTATACATTTACTCACCATATAAAGAAAAATGGAAAGGTTTTTATTTGAAAAAATAATTAAGGGAAAAACATTTCAATACATTGGTCAACTTAATATTAAAATATTTTGACTTTGTTTTCTTGAATATATTTATCAGTTGAGCACTTTTCAAAAATCCTCTTGACTGAACTCAGTAAATCAGAAATGTAGAAAATTGTTTTCTCTGTAAAATTCAAATAATTATACCAACCTGTTAAAGTGGAATTTTTTTTGTGGTCTGAATGTGTATAGGTTGAGGTATATCTAGCAATGTTCAGAAATCTTAATCTATGGCATTAATTTGTATTTGTCATTAGAGTTTTTGACAAAATGAGGATTTCAGTAATTACTGACAAAAAGAATTTTTGCTAAAGCAGAATATAGATTTAAACCGTGTGAGTATGCAATGCAGGAAATAGACATCTTTGAGAAAAACAATTGATTAGGCCGCTATTTTATGAAAAATGGGCTAAATCTGTATTATAATATTGCATTAAAATATTTTCTTTATTCTTTATTGTTTTCTGTATGCGTTTTCATTTTCTGGACTTTTTAGAATTTTCACATTTGTTTGTCTCACACTCACTTTGCCTTCTAATGAAATAAAAGTTATCAGAACATTTTACATGGAAAAAACATGCCAGCTCTGCTTTGCCCTTGAAAGGCCAACGTGAATTTACTAGTTTTTAAAGTCATGAAAAATAAGACTTGACTAAATACAAAACACTGGTTTTACCTCTTTAATTTAAAAAATACAGAGTTTATATTCAGCTTGCCTTTTAACTTTATTATTTTAATAAAATTAGACAAGTCTGTTTTCTGTTGATAGAGCACAAACGTAGCGGCATAGAGCCGCACGTGGAGAAGAGGCCGTAAAGCTTGGTGTTGTTAGGTGCCGTCGAGTCAGTTCCAACTCACAGCGACCCTGGGTACTACAGAGTGAAATGCCACGCAGACGATTTAGCAGAAATGTCCCCATTTTACAGGTGGCAGTCGAGACCGTAGAGATGGTGATGCTGGTGTGGTTTGTGCTTGTTTTGTTTTAGTGTCTGTTTAGACCGAGAGATGGAGATTATCTCATTTTCATCTCAGTCATATATTTGAATATTTGAAAGGAGATTATTAGGTCATCACTTTGGGATGTCATTGGGCTTATTCCAGTGATGTTGCCACCACTCAAGTGTATTTGGAACATAGTTGTTGTTGTTGGGTGCCGTCAAGTTGATTTCAACCAGTGATGACCCCACGTGACAGAGTGGAACTGCCCCATAGAGTCTTCTAGGCTGCAATCTTTATGGGAGCAGATCAGCAGGTCTTTCTCCTGCAGAGCTGCTGAGTGGGTTTGAACTACCAACCTTTCGGTTAGCAGCTGAGCGTGTCTAACCGTAGCACCACCAGGGCTCATATTTGAAACGTTACTGTGTTGAAATTACTGTCAGAAGACCTTCAAGCGAAATTCTTAGCTATGATCCTTTGAAGGAAGAATTGGTATTTTTTCCCAGAGTAGTCAAAAGTTATTCAAGAATGTACTTTTATTTTTTAAAAGAAAGCGAAATACTATATAGTTTTCCTTTGTTCACCTTTTATGTCAAAAAATCCCCCCTTTCATTTCCCCTCTAAATCATTTCTGGCTAAGTAAGAAGATTAAGTGATGAGGCTAGATAAAGCAGCTTGGGGTTGAAAAATCAAATGAGACCATTTTGCAACTTCTTTTTCTTGTGTGGTCACTAATGTTTTGAAGATGTGTAGAAAGCCACTTCAGAAAGACTGAAGGCAATGGCAGCATCCCAGACATAAAATGGACGTGTGACTACCAAGGCTGAGGGTCTTGCAGGGGCAGCGTTCGCTCAGACATGCCAGTGCTATAGAGAAGGAAACCAGTCTCGTTAGATTATATTCAGGTTTTTTTATTTTTATCTTCCTTTGCTGTGCTTTTCCTTCCGTGTAGTTAGAAATTCAGCTTGTCACCATCGTCTGCCTTTGAAAAACAGCTTCTAATACAACTTTTCTTTCCCCCCCCAGGTATTGCTTTCACCGACCTACCGGTAAGACATAATTTATTTTAAAAGCAGTTTTGCATTTCTGATTAAAAAAAAAAGTATAAGGAAAGTACTACTAAGCATGTGTAGAAAGTTTAGAATGTAGTGTTACTGGTCTTTATGGAGTCTAATGCCTTGCATAGAATAGAGCTCCTTTCTCTAGCCACCCGTTGGTATGGACCTTCAGAAATTAAGCTCCAAATTGCACTGGAATCAGTTGCACAAGGGAATTTTGTTATTGTTAAAAAGGAACCATTACTGAAATACACTTTTTAATGTCACTATGCATTCATTGAGTAAGTGTGTATTTGATGTCATTGGCCTTTTCAGCAAGGGTGTGTACAGCAGCTTTAGCCACTCATTCATTCAGCATACATTGAGGGCCTACTGTGTGGCACAGTCTGTGCTTGGGATGCATGATTGAACTAAATAGATGGAGGTCTCTGTTCTTTTGGAGTTTATAGTATTCAAACTGGGGAAGGGGCTGGACAATAAGTAATACATTAAAAATAAGCAAATTGTAACATATTTCAAAAGATTTTAAGTACTATGGAAAGAGAAGAAATAGAGCACAAAAAGTGCCAAAGGCAAGACACAGAGTTACATGTGTTGTTCATCATTGCTCAAGGTGAGACTTGAGCAGAGATTTTTAAAGGAGTGAGGAAGTTAGCCCTATGTAGAGGAAGAACGGTCCAGGCACAGGGAAGTTAGAGCAGGGGTCCTAAGGCAGGAGTGTACCTGGCTTATTGGAAGAATAGCCTCAGGTGTGGCTGAAGAGAAGTGAGTGAGGCGGAGAGTAGCAAGAGATGAGTCAGAGATATGGGGGTGACTAGGGGTAGGGATCGGTGCTAGTCTAGACCTTGTAGGCCATTGCTAGAGCAGCTAGATGTTGTAGGCCATTACAAGGACTTGGGCATTTCCTCTGAGGGAAATGTAAAGACATTGCATAGTTTTAATTGTCATGATGTGACTTCAGTTTTTAAAAGATCACTGATGCTGGGTTGAAGTATACACCGTAGGGGAGTAAAGTGGAAGCAGCGAGACCCGTAGGGGGCTACTGCAGAAACTCAAGTGAGATACAACGATGACTTCCATCAGTAGATGTGTGAAAAATGGTCTGATTCTAGAAACCTTATTTATCAAATCTAAGACGCTGTCATTGTAATATGCGTCATATTTAACACTAAGAAAAAATTATAACACAGTGCTTTCCTATCACTTTGAATTTTTATACTTACTGAGTGATCTCTTAGGGTTATTTAAACAGATTTTTTAAAATCGGTATCACTTCTTTACCTAAAAAGGATCAGATAAGCAATATAAATTGTTTAAGGTTTTCCCCAAATTTTTTTGTATTCAGAGTCCAACCTTTTAAATCACTTTTTAGAGTTGATGTCCATGGTTTTCCTCATGCTATTGTCTTCTCTGCCATCACGAGCACTGGTGATGCAACATTGCTTTAGAGTTCTCCATTATGTCTCTGGATTTCTTCTAAGCTGCTGATCCCATTATGCACATTTCAGTGCTGTCAATTTTTAATATTACCAGAAAGTATTAACCGAAAATTTTCTGACAACAACCTGGATTCTGGTATTCTTTCTCTTTTGGTCCGTAAGTGGCTTGTTGACTAAAATATCTTAGAGGTTACAGTTATCCAGCTGCAGACATACCTCAGAGATATTGCAGGTCCAGTTCCAGACCACTGCAGTAAAGTGAGTCACATGAATTTTTTGGTCTCCCAGTGCATATAAAAGTTACGTTTACACTATACTATAGTTTGTTAAGTGTGCAGTAGCATCATGTCTGAAAAAAAGGTAATATCTTAATTTAAAATATTTAATTGCTAAAAAATGCTCACCATCATCTGACCCTTCATCGAGTCGCAGTCTTTTTGCCGGTGTGGAAGGTCTTGCCTCCATGATGACTGCTGACTAATCAGGGTGGGGGTTGCTGCAGGTTGGGCTGGCTATGGCTGTTTCTTAAAAATAAGTCAACAGTGAAGTTTGCCGCATTGATTGACTCTTCTTTTCACAAAAGATTTCGCTGTAGTATGCGATGCTCTTTGATAGTATTGTACCCACAGAACTTTCAAAATTGGAATCGATCCTCTCAAACCCTGCCGTTGCTTTATCAGCTAAGTTTGTGTGATATTCTAAATCCTTTGTCATTTCAACAGTGTTCACAGCATCTTCACCAGGAGTAGATTCCATCTCAAGAAACCACTTTCTTTGCTCATCCATAAGAAGCAGCTCCTCATCGATTAAAGTTTTATCATGACATTGCAGCAATTCACACATATCTTCGGGCTCCACTTATAATTCTAATTCTCTTGCTTTTTCCACCACATCTTCAGTTACTTCCTCCACTGAAGTCTTGAACTATGAAGGTTGAAATCACCTTCTTCTGAACTCCAGTTAATGTTGATATTTTGACCTCCTCTCATGAATCAGAAATATTAATGGCATCTAGACTGGTAAAACCTTTCCAGAAGGTTTTCAGTTTACTTTGCCCAGATCCATCAGAGGAATCACTATCTCTGGGAGCTATAGCCTTATGAAATGTATTTCTTAAATAATAAGACTTGAAAGTTGAAATTACTCTTTGATCCATGGGATGCAGAATGAATGTTGTGTTAGCAGGCATGAAAACAACATTAATCTCCTTGTACATCTCCATCAGAGCTCTTGGGTGACTAGGTACATTGTCAATGAACAGGAATACTTTGAAAGGAATCTTTTTTTCTGAGCAGTAGGTCTCAACAGGGGGCTTAAAATATTCAGTAAACCATGTTGTAAACATGTGTTGTCATCCAGGCTTTGTTGTTCCGTTTATAGAGTATAGACAGAGTAGATTTAGTGTAATTCTTAAGGGTCCTAGGATTTTCAGAATGGTAAATTGAGTATTGGCTTAAAGTCACCAGCTGCATTAGCCCCTAACAAGAGAGTCAGCCTGTCCTTTGAAGCATCAATTATCTTAGCTCAATCTTCTGGATAACTTGCTGCAGCTTCTCCGTCAGCACTTACTGCTTCGCTTTGCACTTTATGTTATGGATGTGGCTTCTTTCCTTGAACCTCACGAACCAACCTCTGCTAGTTTCAGATTTTTCTTCTGCAGCTTCCTCACCTCTCTTAGCCTTTGTAGAACTGAAGGGAGTTAGAGCTTTGCTCTTGATTAGGCTTTGGCCTAAGGGAATGTTGTGGCTGGTTTGATCTTCTATCCAGACCACTAAAAACTTTCTCCATAGCAGCAATAAGGTTCTTATCATGCATGTGTTCACTGGAGTAGCACTTTTAATTTCCTTCAAGAACTTCTCCTTTGCACTCACAACTTGGCCGTTTGGCACAAGAGGCCTAGCTTTTGCCCTGTCTTGACTTTACACGTGCCTTCCTCACGAAGCTTAATCATTTCTAGTTTTTGATTTAAAGTGACAGACACACGACTCTTCCTTTCACTTGAACACTTAGACACCGTTGTAGGGTTCTTAGTCGGCCTGATTTCAATATTGTTACATCTCGGGGAATAGGGAGGTACGAGGAAAGGGAAAGAGACTGGAATGGCTGGTTGGTAGAGCAGTCAGAACACACACGGCATTTATCAGTTAAGTTCACCGTCTTATACAGGCACGGTTCATGGCGCCCCAAAACAATTACAACAGTAACATCAAAGATCAGTGATCGGAGATCACTGTAACAGATATAATAATAATGAAAAAGTTTGAAATATTGGGAGAATTACCAAAATGTGACACAGAGACATGAAGTGAGCACGTGCTGTTGGAAAAATGGCACCAATAGACTTGCTTGACACTGGGCTGCTGCAAACCTTCAATTTATAAAAAAACACAGTATCTGTGAAGCATGGTAAGGCAAAGCGCGATAAAATGAGGTATGCCTGTATTTCATCAGGACGAGCAGTCAAGTCCCAGTAAGCTCGTTCTTTAACAAATTCATACGTGTGCAGGCAATGCCGGCTGTCCCGTGACCGCTGCCTGGCCAGTTGTAATTGTAAGAAGGATTCTCGGCTCAGAGATGATAGAAAGTACATCTTTTGAGGGAAGTGATGGAGGATTCAGAGGTAGAGACTCGAAATCTAATCTACAGATTATTGATATTCCTGAAGAAACTCAAGGGGATAAAAAGAAGAAATCAGAATTATAATAGAAAATAACTTTGCTAAGCCAAGGAAAGTCTGCAGATCATAATTACTCACCAAGAAGCATTTTTGGAACAGATGTTTATTTTTTTGAAAAAAAAATAGGATGATAAGATTGTATCTTGTATTTTATACCAAAGTAAATTCCAGCTGGGTTATAGAATTTTTCAAGCCTTACGAGCTGATGAAATGTTCTGTCTTAATTTTTTTATGCTGCTGTAACGGAAATACCACAAGTGGATGGCTTTAAAGAACATGAATTTATTTTCTTTCAGTTTAGGAGGCCAGAAGTCCACATTCAGGGAGCCAGCTCTAGCAGAAGGCTCTGTCTCTGTTCACTCTGGGGGAAGATCCTTGTCCCAGCTTCTCTAGCACCAGCCTCGCTCCGTTCCTTGATGATTTCCACGTGGCGTCTCTTTCCCCCATTTGTGTTTATTTGTCTCTGTGACTGATGTGTTCTTTTCATATCTCAAATGTGAGCAGGTTTAAGACATACCTTACAGTGATATGGGTCATTAACATAACAAACAAACCCAAATGGGGTTATAGCCACAGGTATAAGGGTTAGAATTCCAACACATACTTTAGGGGGGCACAGTTCAATCATAACATTCCAACCTTTGCCCCGCCCCCCAAATTCATGTCCTTCCCACATGAAAAAACACATTCACCCTGTCACATTATCCCAAAAGCCTTACCCCATTCCAGCATCAACTCTGAGTCTGAAATCTCATCTGAATCATCTGAATGATCTGAATGAAGTATGATGACTCTGGGTGTGTTCTGTCCTGGGGCAAAATTCCTTTTTATCTGTGGACGATTAAAACTAGAATACACATTATCTGTTTCCAAAG